GAGGGGGGGGAGGAGGAGGGGGCACAGGCGGGATGTGCGTAGGGGGATTTAACACCATTTGATCTTCTTGACTGCTTCTCTGCAGCAGACTGAAGTGACGGCGATGATTGGAGACTTAGGCAGTTCCCTTGTGGGCATTTCTTTGGAGCATTGGTCATCTCCGTTTCCTATCGTCCAGGTGGGATGGACATGTTGGGGTAGCTGTATGAGGAGGAGAACGATTGGAAACAGCATCATCAACCGCGTAGGAGAATTGTCAGGGGGAGATTATTCTGAATGGGGTGGGGTCATTGTGAAGATTTCCCCGTTGGAATGTCGTTGACCATGCTGTCCTCCTGTCCTGGCAGGACAGCCGTATAGGAGTTGTGGTGAGAGACGGAAGCCAAGAAGTGGATGTGGGCTTGTTAAAGTGTTTGAGAGAATATTGTGGGGGAATCCTGGTTTAATCGATCGCAAAGTTCGCCACTGCTACTTTCCACCTGTGTTGTGGACGCGATTGACGACCTTTCAAGATGCTGGTCGTTTTCGTCGTGGACACCAGTGCCTCCATGAATCAACGCGCTTTCAGCGGATTGTCTCTGCTGGATTGCGCGAAATCGGCGGTTGAGCATTTTCACAAGGTTCGGCAGCGGGATGTGTCGAGCCGAGTAGACCGTTACATGCTTGTCACATGCGAAGAAGGGGACGCAGCTCTGAAAGTGTTGGACAAGTACCCCTTCACGTGCTTTCTGAAGGTTCTGAAGGGGATTCAGGCGAGGGATCTAACGAACACTGAGGCCTCGATGCAGCGAATCTTTGACTTCTTACATCTGCAGCGGCTAGCGTTGGGCTGCGATACGTATGGCCAGGGTCGGTACGCGTACACAATCGATCCAACAATGATTATCCTGCTCACAGATGGCACAGAGCTGACATCTATGGTTGGTGTCTCGAACTCGCTGGTTTTATCTTCTTCTGGCCCTAAGCCTATCGGTGCAGATTTGTCGTCACAGCCGTTTCGCTGGGATCAGAGAGTGTTTGCTACTGTCCTCAGGATCCCGGCGGTCAGTTCGCTGCCGTCAGAGCGAAGTGCGACGCTCCCTCACCACCAGGCTTTCTCCGGTTCCCAGTCCCCTGTGCCATTGGAATCTACCATTCAGAGAATATGTGAATATACAGGTGGAAAGTGTATCGTAGTCAGCAGCTGGAAGATGCTCATGCAGCAGATCGAAATGATGGCTGCGCGACTTCAACCAGGTGTAGTTGCATCGTTCGAGCACATCCCGCTCCAAGGCGATGACCCTCTGCCAGCACAAGTCCAGATGCTGTGCCAACGCAAGATCATGTGCATAAGTCGTGGGCAGTCGCAAGGGCCGGGGCATTGGCCGATCCCGGAATCGTATTGGCCTGATCCGACACAGGCACGCCTTCCGCCGCGGGATCCGCACCCGGTCATAGCTTACAAATCAGTCGATTCAGAGTCGTTTCCTCACATCCCGGCTAACTTCCCGTGCGATAAGTATGAGATTGAGCCCACGCCAATTTTTGGCTTCATGAGCAAGGCACCAGCGGGTGCATGCTGGGATGTCTACATCCGCAATAGCAAGGGACCGAACAATGGATATGGCGATCCGTTTGGCTATCTGAAGCTGAACAGGGTTGGCAGCACCCTCACGTTATGGGTGCTCCCATATAACTACCCTCAGCTGTGGCAGCTGCTGGACCAGCTGTCTCGGATGCCTGCAACAGCAAAGCAATCGCCGCCATTGTCTTGGAGACAGGAATTGGAGAGGTATTGTGCTGGAATCCCCCCTTATTATGCAGGCCCTCTCCGTGCAGCTCTCAAGCGTTCCGGTCTGAGCCCACACATTGTACCGGATTCAATGGATGCCGGGATTCTGAATGGTTATGTGGCACAGCAGCTGAAACGCATGAAGGCGCAGGCAAAATTGGAGGTGGACCGCGAACTCGGCCGGATGCTTGCAGATCAACAAGCTGCATTTGGGAACGTGGGTAGTGGTGCGATTCCTTCCCGAACAAGTTTGAACAGCAACCAGACTGCCGTCCCTGCGGTGCAGCCTCCACAGGAAATGCAGCCTGGTTTTGGTTTTACACGCCCGGTGGGCGTACTGGGCGCTCCTACAAAGGACAACACTGCAGGGGCGGCTGGCAGTTCCCCGCTGCCGGCTTCAACATCTGCGTCAGGGAATCAAGGAAGCAGTGGCGTGAATGGCGTAGGAGGTGGCAGTGGCGGGAGTTATGTCGGTCTCGGTCCTGCTGACAGCATGTGGGGAGCAGGGGTGGGGCGCAGTGGCGCTGATGGGCTCGAGCGTTTGGTCAGCACAGGCCCTTCTACAGGGATGGGAGCGGGAACTCCCGCCGTGTTTGTGTCCGGCCCAGGCCTCGGCGCTGGTGCAGAGTGTGCTGCCGTGGCCGTTGCAAGGGATTCAGCTCTTATGAAAGAGGTTGCCGTATTTCGCAATGCCTTTGACATCCCGCGAGACCAATTGCTGAAGCAGTTGCTGTTCCTGCCAGTACGGGTGGCCATGGCATTGGATGCGAAGCGCAGCAAGCGAGGAGATGGCGACACCAGCAGGCGAGGCTCAAGGGGTGGCATAGGTGCGCTCGCAGCTCAGCTGGCTGCACAGCATGAAGAGGAAGCAAGGCACGCAGTGCCAATCGAAAAGATGGGAGACTTCAATGAAGCTCTGATGAGACAGCAACCACCACGTAACCCGTTCGTGTTTGCCGAGGACATGGAGAGGGGCAAGGTCCCAAGGCTCCCGTTTCAAAGCCCCTACCAGCAGGGGCAAGCGGAGGGTCCCGACGAGGCATGGGAGTCCCTACAGAACCCATCCAGTCCAAATCAGAGAGGGAACCGGAAGCGGAAACGGCGACCGGGCTCGCCTGCACCACCCCCACCCCCTGTTTCACCGCCGCCTCCATGCCAGCAGCCGAATGCGCCCAGCGGTGTGCCCCCTAAGAATGTGTCTGCCCCAGAGTCTGCAGTCAGCAGTGGGTCAGAGGGGCATGCCATAACTGCTGTCGGGCGAAAGCCCCTGGAAGTCGCCTCTGACGCTCTATCCAATCGTGAGCAGTCGGGGTTTGGAAGAGAAAGACCTGGAGAAAGTAGTGCTTGCCCCTCCCAGTTGTCCACAGCACCACATGATGCTATCGAGGATCATCCCGCAGGTGGTGGTGATGAACAGCCACAACTCGCCCATAGTAACGGGGATCATAACAGCAAGGGCAAGACGGCAGTGCGGGAGGAGGGAGTCCGCCCAGTCATGCCAACGAAAAGGGGCCGGGAAGGAGGAGACGGTTCTTGGCCGGTGCAACCGAACGCCGGCGATTCCGTACGAGAAGAGCGAGGATGGGGAGGGTACGATGTGACGGTACAGCATGCATGGAGGGATCGTGAAGAGGTGGTGGAGTTCCTCCTTAAGATCAATAGGGTTCTGAAGGGCCTTCGAGGCAAAGATTACAACCCCCTCTTCTCCCTTCTCTCTGTCCCTGTGTTCCCTGTTGACAAGGCCAATTTCGTCAAACAGCTAGTTCTGCAGGCGCAGAGGCACAAGAAGTATGCTCTGGCTGAAGAGCTTTCGGACTACTTGTCGAAGACGGTTGCTGCTGGTGCCTGACAGACATGTCGATGTGTTTTTCGTCGCCGTCTATACTTCAAAGTTACACAAATGGAGACGCATCGAAATTGGAAGGAACGTCTTCTCGAGAAGGATTGTCCGCCCAGAACTTTGCAGCAACCTGGATGTGCTGCGCGTTGACATCTTGTCCGCTGGGTGGGTCTGTTCTGGCGTGTAGCCTCGAGGTGGCTGGTTCGCTTCTCCCATTTGATTTGTGCTGACAAGAGTGACATAGTCTTGTCTTGTTTTCAGACTTGAGAGTTTTAAAGGTTGTTTACATTTTCTTTAGAGCCTTTTTTTTTGAATTTTTTAACCTTTTTTTTTTAATTTTGTAGTCTTTCAAATTCCTTTGGAGTTTGAAGAATGGAGGTTGGTTTTCAAATAACTGTTGTGTAGAGGAAAATTTGGCTGTTGGAAGAAGTGGGAGGGGGGTGAGGGGAGGGGGGGAGTGTGGTTGGTTCCACAAGGAAAGTGGGAAGCGGAATTGGTGGGGGTGTCGGAGACGGCAAAGGGCAGCCTGACTATTGAAAGGGATGGGATAACCACTCTAGCTCTGTCTTAAATATATCTGATCGCATTTACCACCGAACCTGGATGCACCCAACGGCAAAATACATCCATTTGTAAGTAAAAAAGTCCTACTGTGAGTATGCCCTGAAGGACTAGGGTATTTGAAAGTGGAGGTGAGAGTAGTTCTTTTGTGTTTCCTGGAGGTGAAGATTTCTGTGAATACCATTTTGGAAAATTTTAGAGGATTTTTCGTGCTGAATGTGCTGCAAAAGCCAGATGCTACCATCTTGCCCTGAATAGGACGGACGGTCACTATAGCAGTATTTGGCTCACCTTTCAGTCAAGATGCATCGGGAGAGGTTGTTTTCTGTTTCCTTCAGAGGAATTCTCATATTGGTGATGCTGCAAAAGCCAGATGTCACAGGCTTCCCCGAATAGAACATATGCGTGTCATATGGTCATTATAGCCGTATTTGGTGCACCTTGCAGTCCAAATGCAGCGAAACTGACCGGTCGTTCTGTTCGCGGGAAGAAGGTAGGTCTGTCATTGCTTGGCGGCAATGATGAACCGAAATGATTTTCCTGCATGTTTTCGGCTCTGTGACTTTGCCATCTGTCCAAGGTGTATACATATGTGTCCATATATGCACTTTCTTCCCTTTCTCTTCTCTTCTCTTCTGTTCGCCGGGATCATGGCGAGTGGGTTGTGCTAGCAGAGAGGACTTTTGCCTTTTTGGTCGCTTTTGGGTGCCTGAGTGGATGGGCTAAAAAAGAAGCATAGACGATTTATAATTGATTTTCAAATTGTTTGTACTCCTTGCTGCATGAGGGCCTCCTCTCCACACCTCTCCTCAAATGCTTAATTCTTTTGTTTTTCTATTTTTGTTTGGAAAGCTGCCTTCTCCTCTTCGTGGGACACCCAAGGTTTCAAGAGCTGTCATACCTGGTTTTTTTTTTTTTTTTTTTTTTTTTTTTTTTTTTTTT